CCAATCCCATGGCCCAATCCTCTAATTGCTGTGGAATAAAAATGAAAAAAACCCCAGAACATGTTTACTGCTGTTGTAGATGTTTCATTTCTATGTCCCATTTGAACTTTGCTATTTAAAATACAAGAATCCTGTTTGATATGTTGATTTGGAAGTGCCATGTTTAAAACCCGAAAACTGGGTGTCACAGTCATTTTCATGTGAGTAGACATCCAAACAAAGGCAGCATAATCTTGCTGTAAATTCAGCAATAATGCAGTACAAAAAGACAAAACTTTACATCACTTTATATTTTCAGCAAGATAAAGAACTATATTAATCTACGAATCATTTTTTAATAAAATTTAGATAAAATCTTGTTCTCTTTGAGGAAATCAAATAGCCCAGCATTTGGACCACAAAAATGGACAGACTTTATGACTATGTGTCAGACAATACAGATAATGGGATCATTGACCTCTTGGGCTACTGAAATAAGATTTTTTAAAAATAAATCACAAAAGCTGAAAAATCTATACTAAATGTTTGGGTTTTTTCCCAATCTACTTGAAGATGAGCATTTCAAATTCATGGCAAGATAATAAATCACTTTATAAACTCATTGTTTTCCCAAGTGGTAAACAGTTCACAGGGAAATTCCATTTTATTGAAAGGTAAGTGATATTAATACCATTTTCAAAACCAGTTTTTATTCCAGGTCTGCTCCTACAACTTCAATTTTATTTACTGCAGCTAGGACTCTAAAAGAGTTCTTCTTTGGTATTCATTTTCAGAAATTCTTCTAAGAGGAAGTAATGTTCAAGTAAGGTCTAAAACTAAACTAAAGGAAGCTGGGGATGAATTGGGAAAAGAAATGAGATTTTATCCCTACTTACATGAGACATATACAGGAATTAACTGAACATTTCAATTCAGGAGCATATCGAGCACATGCCTGGCGATAAGCACGCGCCATCATCACGTTGGTTTTTTGAAAATTTGTACCTGAAGCTGTAGGATTCTGATGAGTGACTTTAGAATTAGCCACATGGTGGTAAGTTCATTGCTGTCCCCTGGTAAGGGACACTCGACCCCTGTAACAGACAGACCTGACAAACCCATCACTTGGCCAATGAACCTTGCACCATATTCTAGTGAGAGTGTTCACACATCACTATGATGTTCATAAGCAAAATGAAGGCAGCTCCATAAATCATAGTAGTGCTTACATCATGGGGTAGACTACTAAGCTTTGTGACACTACATTAGACATCAAGTAGCACAGATTTGAGATGTGATCCTCTATTAATATACACTGTCATTACTGCATTTACTACACCAGCTGAGAGCATGGCTAGGTGGCTAGATACTAAAGCATTCTTTAGAGCTCTTTTCCCATGGATGTGTTTGTTGATCTAAACATGATCCTGCAAGAATCAAAACATTTCAGCTTTGGGTCATGGGGTAGTGAAGAGTTTTGCAATGGTTAACACTGACATGTGCCCATACTTACCTACATTTCCTATTTCAGATGCTGGGATTGTTCTACTCAGTTTTTGTGGGATTTTTTTAGGGTTATTTTGGATTGTTTTGAAGAAATTCTAACCAGAAAAAAAATCAGGATATACACCTCTCATAATTCTCCCGTATTATGCTGAAGAGACACCAGCTTTCTCTGTTCAGTTCAGAGAAAGTTCAATTTATTTAGTTAGCTGTTCTCCCAGTTTGCTCAAAGGCAATGCTGCGTGTGTATATTTTCACACCAGACTACACCTGGAACTTAATAGGTCAGATAAGAATTTTAATTATGTTACAGGTAAACGACTCAGTTCAGAGTCTCTTCTAGGGGGATTACAGACTGTTTCCAAGGCTGGGAACAGATGTAACTGTAGGAATGAACCACATTTTGCACTGACTCACATTCCTTCCAATCCACTGAGTTCAATGGGACCAGAAGTAAAGCAAAATTTGCTCTACCATTTTGTCTGTTTCAGTACAACTTTCTTTTGGATTCTTTACATAATTAAGTGTCAGACCTCAGAGAAAATGTTGTCCCATTCACTGTAAAACAGAATGGTCCATGGAGGAAAATAGTTGCATTAGAGAACCACACAAATGACATTAAGGCTACCTAGTTTTGTGTTTTCAAACCTTTTTGTTTTCCTCTGCATACAATGACAGTTTCAACAGGATCTGAAGCAATACTCTTAACAAATAATACACTAGTCTGTCATATGGTTAATATTAACGTCTCTCTATTCAAACATGCTGAAAACTGAATAGAACAGTTAACATATAACAGTCACACATCCTTTGCTGAGTACAAGGTCGCATCTCTAACATGAACCGAAGATATCCTCACCATTTCAGATCTTCATCTGTCACTTAGTTAAACATTTCATTCTCAGTTAAACATTACATTGCTCTTCCCCTCTTTCTGGGTCTTTCAGGGGTGCCGCGTGAACACATTCTCTCCATAAAGGCATTGCTTATGATATGGTTCTTTCTTCAACTGAAATCTTGCTGTGTGTTTTCATTATGTTGTCAGAGGTGAATTTGCAGAGTTTGGTAGAATTTGAGAGAGAGAAGGTCTTACATCTGAATTGAAAAGATTTAATTTTGAAACATTAATTTGGGCAGGATTCTGCACTTTATTTCAGAGTCATCTCTTGATGTCATTAATGGTGAACAATTTATTAATTGTGATGACAGTTTACAAATTGTTGAATCAGAGCTTTATATAGTGACCAGTTTTTATATTCCAGGTATGTTCACTGGGTTTATGGGCAGAGACAAGCTCACTTTGCTCATGTCCTGAGATGGCAGGATGTAAATAGTGTTTATGCTGTTACAAGTCATAAGATGGTAGGGATGCAAAGCTGAGCCCCATCTAACACACCCTGTCTTTCAGAAGATTTATCTGGTGTGGGCTTGGGGCCATACCCACCTCAGTCAGCTCAGCTCGCGCGCAGTAAGACTGTGCCCAGCCACAATATACTGCAGAAATATGTCAGGGTTAGAGCAAACCTCAAGGTGATCCCACCTCACTGCCAAACAAAAGCTCTATGTCTGAAAAAGTGAGTCTGAATGAGACTTGCTCCATCCTGGGGCATAGAACATAGTTTGCCCTCAAGCATATTTCTATTGCAAACACACAGCAAAGATTACAGCCATAGAAAGTTCTGCAAACAAGACAATTTCATCAACTTTATCTTTAAAGGAAATCCCAAAACCAAAACCACAAAGGAAACCCAAAATAAGACTTGCTGAATGAAGACTGTGAATAGTAATTTTTTTTTACTGCCTTAATGAAAAAAAGAATGACATACACCTTCAGCATTTCTTTTCCAAATTTACTTGACAGAGGTTAAAATATTGCTTTATTCTGACTCAACATACAACAGCACTGTGTGATCAATTGTGCTATTTTGGGAAGTCTTGAGACTTGTGAACTAGAAAGTCTGGGGCACATTAATAAATTTAACAATTAATTTGCTGCAAAGGAATACTTTAACACATTCTGTATATACTGTAATTTTCTTCTAGTCAATCTTCTGACATTAACCAGGGAAGGCTATTTAGCAATTATTTATTATATTTGATTTTTCCCCCCCAAGAATAAGCAGATATTGTAATACTAATAAAACCACAAATGTGAGTCACTGAAGCCAATTCATTGCACTATTGGCATACTGTGTTACAATTTATGGGGGGAAAAGGGACTCAAAAGAAAGCTAATGCAAAAAGTGCTTACAGTATGATTGGGATATGGTAACTAGGGAATGATACTTCTTCTCTAAGGCCTTGATCCCCAGCAGGGAGTGATTCAGTGGAAACCATCTGCTCTTATACAGTCCCATTAGAATCACATCTGTGCATGCCTGTGGCTCTGTCCATACTGAACCATCTACAGGGTTGAAGCTTTAAAGTTCACAAGCCTAAGCCACAATTAATTAAAGTGACTAGAGAACTGAATGCAGGAACAAATTAGGTCAATGTGGACACTATGGGCTGTATTTTGATCATATAGGATCTCCCTGACTCTCCTCTGAACCACTCATAATAAAAAAAAATAATTAAAAAAGACACACACACACGCGCACACACTCAGAAGTGCTCCTTGAGAGCTTAAAAATGCCTTCAAAGTGTAAAAGTTTAGAAATGTAGAGGGGTGTTAATGAACAATGGAGTTTATGTTCCCACTCAAAAAAACCCGAACCAGAAACCAAAACCAAACCTGTTGTAATACATACTTCTGCATTTTCTCTTGCTGTTCCTCACTTTCCACCAAGGCAGCTCTAATAGGCAAAAAAAGCTCAGAAGATGGAGCAACTGTGGGCTCCTGACCACTGAATCTCTACAGACCCCAATCTTGCTCCACACTTAGCCAAACCCAAAGCTCCTAAATGATACCATTGACTTTCTTGGGCTGACTGACACATTAAATTAAGGTTGAGAGTTCAGCATCTGTTCAATTTAGGGCTGTTGGCATCATTCCACAGCAGGTACCAGAGCTCAGAAGTAGGTGTCTGTGTGCCTGTTTCCATGGTATGAACCTGGAATCAAGAGGAGAGGAGGAGAGAGGACTGAATCGTGCTGGGCTCATGGGACTTGTTCCCCAGGGTCTGAATCCCTGGCCAGCAGTTTGCTGCAGTGCTGCCCTGAAATCAGAGACACATCTCAGAATGGTCTTGGCCTTTACTGAAAAAAAGATGCATAGCCTAAGCCTTTGGACAGATGAACGGGACCGTGGTAAAATCCTCTGTCACTGAAACTGTACGTGTAATCCTTCCTAGAAAGCACCTGATGCACGCTTCATCCCTCCTGGAACTTTTCCCTTAAAAAAATATTTTGTTAAAAAACACTATGATATGAGGGCGATTGACTATTTGGTTTCTTCTAAGTAGATGCTCTTAAAGTAATGCATATAAATAATTTGTTTTTAACTTCCTCCCTTCCTGTTTAGCAAAACATCGAATGCACAGATCTCTCATTTCCCCTCCAACAACCCCCACACAAAGTCACTTGGTCAATACCGAGTCTCTTTGCGTTTCGCTTTTTAAGACAAATTGTGCCTCTCGCTCTGACTTGGCCATGGGGCTCATGGGCAAAAACGCTGTGTTTTCACTCGCGCTGCTCTCTGCTTCTACGCTCGCCAGTTCATAGTCCTCCGACCGCCTCGTGTCCGTCAGAATCCGAATCTGCTCCTGCACAGTTTCTAGCAATATTTTTACTTCGTGTTGTTCTGCTATAAGACAATTACTGACTGGGGAACTCACATTGACAAGTTCAGCAGAATAGGAGTTTTTGCACCATTTGATGCCCGTTACTTCAGCAACATTTTGCATTTGCATGCAGGCTTCATCCAAGCCCACAGATGGGATAATGGGAACGGAGTTGGCCCTTGAAGATGAATAGCCGACCAAGTCCTTCTGATCCACGTTATTAAAATATGGGGGTGTCTCTCTTGAAGGCAGTTGCATATTTATTGAAGTATTCTGAGGAGTTTTTAAACCACTGGATGAATACCTGGAAAGAGTAAAAAAAAGTTTTCGTTGTACATCAAGGGGTCAGATGCAACTGGCAGCAGGGACACTGCATGAGATTCAGTGAACTGTGCTGAAAAGATACACATAATTTTTCCCTCACACTAGGAGCACTTGGCAGTGGTGGGGTCCTGGGGAAAACAACAGGTTCTGGAGAATGGTTTTGATTCTCAGATGTGCTGGTGGCAAACCACTGCTTTTCTCTCACTCTCATTTTGCCCACCTGGATATGAGAATAATGAAAATTCCTTTTAAAAATATTTCAGAAGTTCTTAATTTTCTTTGAAATGAAATTTGCAATTCCATTCCTACATTACTAACTGGGGAAATGGAGTGATACATTCTTCAGTGTGAGAACTCTCAATGTCAAATTGTTATTTTAGAAAAACACTTTAAAAAGATGCAGATATAAAGAACTTTAAATACACATGGCTGTGTAGGGCTTTATTTACATAGAAATGATTATCTGTACTCCCCTTCAACAAGCAGAGCACCTAAGTGCAGTGGACCTGTGAAAAACATCTGTTTTTCAATAGACCACACTCATAATGTTGGTCTGATTTGTTTTATCAGATCTCATCTGAAAATAGAGCTAATATATATGGCTTGAGCAAATGTCTGTGTTCTCCTGACATTGTAATACTGTTTTTAAAAAAATCCATTATCCTCCATTAACACATGTCATAGCATGATTTTATTTATTGTGAGGCAACCTGGTGATTTTTTATCAACATTTCCATTTGGTTTCAAAGCCAAATTAATTATTATGATCAGGAAATGTTTTGTTTACAAGAAATACTTAAAAAAATAGAAATGGAAAGTATACTAAATATAAAATAAAGTGAAAAATAAAAAAGAAAAAAGATGTTTCCCATCTGAAAGCAGTGTTACTAGAAATATTGTGCTCTGAGTTACTTTATCTAATAGTCATGGTTGCTAAGGACCACAGACATCACCTCAGTACCAGAACATACTTTATTTATAATCAGCTTATCACTATTTAATAAGACAAGCTAATGGTGAATCTAATATGTTTTATCCATGGATGAGGACAGCAACATTTAGATTGGGTATGGAAGCAGCTGCTTTGAGCTCTGACTTGAAGGGTATTATTCTGAAAGCTCCTTAAGCCTGCTGGACCTCACTAGGGATATCCTTCTACTCATATGTGCCTAGCTGTGTTTTGGTATGAGCAGAAAAAGGGCTGAGAAAAGAAACTGTATCGCATGAAACAGCCATAGTCCAGTATTAGCAAACAAGTTTAATTAATTGGTGAGGCTTCCTTCAGCCCCATCCTCCTGATGAGGTGTCAAGCAGGAGACATCAGAAGATATCTTTAGACTCATTCCAGCAGAGTGCCACTGACCTCTAATTAACTTGTCTATGGTGGCACTGTGTTTGTACAACTACTTGACTCATTAACCTGTACATATGCATGCATGAAGTTCTGTAAGCCCCCACACAAGAACTCTCCAGGCACCCCCAAAAGACCAGAAAATGCAGCTGGGAGCTCTGCAATAAGGAGGAGATGTTGTGAACTTTGCTGCTATGTGATGGAAAGAGAGACTGCTTTGGGAAGTGGGACCCAGGGGAATAATATAGCAAGCAGATTTTTTTCATGTTTGGATATTTTTTTTTTTCTAGAACTTCTTGTCCATGCTACACAGCTGCAGCTATGTTTTAGTCTGAGCCAGTTGAGACTCAGCTTTGGTTAATTTGCAGTATGCTTAGACACATCTGAAGCCATTCACAGAGGGGCTTTTTAGAAGAGTTCTCAAGACTCAGTATGAATGAAATACTGATCAGGGATATTATTCCCGAGGGAGAACAATTAAAAACCATAAATGAAAACAAAACAGTGCAGACCTTTGGGTTGTGCCCATTCTTGTTTCCTTTGCTTATATATAATTGTTCAAACGACTATAGCTGGAGAGATCGCATCAGTTGCATTAGTCCCTTTTTTGGTAATTCAGGCCCTAAATATATTCTGGGCTGCACCCTGAAAACAAAGGGAGTGAATGTTTTTAATGAATTTCACATGCAATGGATGTATTATATGGATGATATATAAGCAAAACCAAGAAAAGACTGAATTAAAATGGGTTTGGTGAGAAAACAATAACATTTGCCAGATCTGTAATAGAGATTCAATTATTCTTGGTATTTTGAAAACTAACTGGCAGTAACATGTAACACAATGCCTGGCATACTTCCATAATATTTTTTTGAAGTAGATAGACCAATTTTCTGCCAGAATTACATGTTTCTTTCCTGTGCTAGCATGGCTTTCAAAGGAGGACTGAGACTGAATTAAAGTGCATCCACTGTGTCCAACAGGTGAAGTAATAACCTAGAAGGGACATTATATCTAAACCATGTGAGACTCAGCTTTTGTTAATTACAAACTGATCCATGTGTCTATGTGTGACACCAGACTGCTGCTGTTTCAATAGACTGAGAATTAGAACTATAATTGCAGAATCTTAATTACATTTTCCTATAATTAACTTTCCAGATCCATAGTTCATCCAAGGAAATATATCTGGTTTTTTATCTGAAAAATTATTTTATCTGAATAAATTAATTCACGTGCGTGTATTTCAAAGTGCAGCTCTCTCTCCACCCTCTTCCTAAAACCAAGCAACAAAAGAAAATCAAACATTTATCAATATTCAACTGTAATTATGTTATACAGTGTTTGAGAGTCTAAATTAAAGAATGAAACTGAAAGAAGCACAATAATTTTACTGCCCCCTTTAAGAACAGATATTCAAGAGAGACAGAAGGGATTGGAATGTAAAATGCATAATGGATTTTGTTCAGCATAGCCCCAAGAGCTTTGCTCTAAGCCTATGGCCATAGGTGTGCAGTGTATGAGCCTGATGAATTCCCTTAAGATGAATGGGAGTCATTCCAGTGGCACTGCCAGGCTTTGGTTCAGCCTTGTAAGCACTTTTACCAGTATATACACAAATCCCATTTTCTACCTCTAGATATGACACTCTGGGTCTTGTATATAGAAACACATTTATATTTACACATTTACACATTCACATGCTATGAGGCACTACTGCTAACCCTTCCTGCCCTGCTTCCCAAAGAGCTGTCACTGCCAGCTGTGATCACACCACTGTCCACTTCACTGCAAGTGAACTCGTGACACCCTCAGGGACTGGAACCAGTCTCTGAGATGTAACTGACATGGATGGTTTCTTTTCTTTAAGCCACTCATTTCAAGCAGGTTTTTCTACTCTTTCAAGTAGTATACTGACTAAAAACCAAGTTAAACCTGCTTGAAATTCCTTGAGAATTCCAACACTGTGAAACCAGCAGATATTTAGAAGGTAAACAGCCATCTGATTTTGAGGAAACCATTTCGTAACTTAGAAGAACTCCATATGAAATAGAATTAGTGATTTATGTTTTCATTTTTGTTCAGAGATAAGATGGGCACTTATATTCTGGTTGAAGAGATTCATTTCTGCAACACAAAGCAACTTGCAGAAAGTTTTTTAACACACTGAAAAGACTTCAATTTTCAAAAAATCCATTGTCAGTAAAACACTGTAATAAAAAGAGATCAAAGAATTGCTTTTGTTTTCATTCCTAACATTGACATTTTGAAAATTCATTTCCATGGGTTGAAGTCTTTTGGTATTGATTTGTGATATATGCAGACTGCTGTGACTCCCTGTCACAACACCAGCTGTCGATGAGCTCAGAGGACTCCTTCAGAGAAAGGTCTCATCATTACAGTTGATATTAGGAAGGTCTAATTCTACACACATCCCCAGTGCACAAAATATGGATGAAGTGCTTGACTGTATTGAGGCCAGACAGGGTCACAGTCTGGTCCCAATATCAAACTTTTACAGAACTGTAAATTTAAAACACAGGTCAGTACAAGACAATGCTTGTACTAGAAACATAGTGATTTTCTAGAGAAGAATAAATACAACTACCCACAGATTTGCTGTTTTGTACCTCACTTTTCTGACTAGAAGGAGGCTGCAGCACTCCCCAGAGTCCATGTTACAGGATACAGCTATTGGAGGGGGAAGGCTGTCAACCTGTTCCTTTCAGGAAGGGTTGTAATTTCAGTAACAATTTTCATATTATACACACATTATCATACAAATGAACCAAATATATTAACTGCCAGAGGTAATATACAATGTTTTTCTCAAAAGCAGTGAATATTAACAATGACCGAATCAAACTCATTCCTATTTAAAGGAAGTCACCAGACACCCAAACCTTTTGCTGCTTTGCTTTCTCCCTTCCTAGGTAAGCCCTGCTCTTGATCTGTCTTTCCCAATTACTGTGGCCAGCTTTGTTAGGTAGATTCAGCTCAAAAATATTTAGTAAGCCCCTCTCTGAGAGCACCCTAGCCTAGGCAACCCTGCTGCAAGTTCAGCAGCATGGTGAGTGTGGCACAGGAGGATGTGTGCCTACAAGTGTGATGACAACAACACACCTGTAACAAGACTTATTCTCAGTCAGCACATGTGGCTGCCATTTCCCAGGAGGTCAGAGTGGTTAGTGATAATAGCTCCTTTCTTTCCTGAAGAAAATTAAACATGTAGGTGACCTCACTTTTGTGCTTTATAGACAGTTCCGATACAAAGCTATACAGCTACCTTGTCATGGTGGAACTCTTCACTATGACTTACAGGTGTCCAGATGAAACTGGTGGGTTTTTTATTTCATTCCAGATATCAATCCTATTTATTACATATAATATATTTGTAATGATTCTGGAAAGTCTTTGGAAATCTATTGGGATATGTAAATATTATGCAAAATATCCCAGCAATTGCAAAAGACATCAAAGGCAGCTCTGGGTGTTCAGGAGCACTTCTGACATTCAGACCTTATGTACAGCTGGAGCTCACAGTCAGTGTTCTAATAAGCTGAATTTAAAAAGGAAAAAAATAGTGGATTCTTTGTGCATTTTCAAAGACAAACCTGTGTGAAGCCATTGGTTTTCAGTCTAGAGAAAACACATTCCTCAATGTACATTGATTTATTTAAAAAAACCATGCAAGTTGCACTTCTGAATTATTTTCTCTTATTTGCCCAATGCTGATTGATGGAACTAAAAAATGCCACCCATAAATTACTAGAACATCACAGCACCACTAGAAAAAAACATCAGTTAGAGAAATGTTGCCAATCACTTACAGCTTGTTCTAATCCCTCCTTCTACAGCCTCTGCAAGGCTTAAAAATAGCAGCCAGGCACATTAAAGCATATTGCCTTCAAAGAGCCAGTATGCTGAAAACATTCTTCTGCTTTCAGCCCTATAAGCTCTGGATCCACAGTACACTACAAGAAGTAGGAATGACTGTAATGGCAAAGCATATTAACCTCCTAACAGCAGCTACTCACAAATTGGCTCACTCCAGTTATGTTATTACTTACCCGTGACAAGGTATTGTGTCCTGGTCTGTGATCCTTGACTCTTCTAGGTGTTGATATGCTGGTCCTGTAATTCCATTGAACCTACCCCGAGGCAAGGGAGGAGTCCTCCGAAAGGCATTTCTATGTAGCATCCCACTTTTTTGTCCTGGGCTGCAGCATGAAGAGAGACTTCTAGGAACAACATCAAGAGTACAGTAAAAATTATCATAGCAAAATCATAAAATTATCCAAAGTAAAGATTCGGGATTAATAATGCATGGATTATTGTTCTTATAAACTTCGCTGTGGCAGTCTATGATGTCAGTAGAAATTCTCTATGGAAATATAATACCATAATCCACCATTAGCTGTTTGTGCCATATTTAATACATCACCTCTTTTCTAGGAATGAAAATAATTGCCCAGTATATTAAATGTGTTCTTGCACTTGATGAAGGATGCTTCTTTCTCCCATGCTGTATATCATAATCCTGCTATACAAGAGTTTCCTCCTCAGATAGTATAAACAAAGAGCACAACTCCATCATACCCACAGCTGAATTCAAAATCACATCAAACAGAGAGCCTGTTACATCATCTATCAGCCTACAAGGTGCTGCTTCCTGATAGAAAAATATTAAATTGGGAAAAAAGTATAAGTGAAGAATATAAGTGAAGCTTGTGAACTGCAGCTTGAAGAAGCCATCCAAGACAAGTTTTCTCTACCTTGAACAAGATTTCTATATTGTTTTAGTCTTGTTTTATACACAGATTGCTTTCTTGTTTATATACATTTATAAATACTGTGTTGTTTCTTTATGTGATATAATACAAACTTGAATATGATAAAAACAAGTTTTCTACTTGTTTTAGAAGATCAATTTAGTAAACATTTTCCTGGTGTTTTGGAAGAAGAATGGAATTTTTTTTTTCACTTCACGCAGGAATTAAAAAGTATCTAGAATCCACAGTTTTGGTATATAAGCCATAAATTGAGCTGCTGCTAATGCAAAAAATATGGGAACACAGAATTAAGGCAAGACATAACCTATTTTTATTGTTAACAGGTCAGAATACTGCATGGCATGACTGGCTATTCATTCTCCAGCTACTCCTATTTCTCTTAGCATATTCTGAGTCTCAGAAATGCACATTACCTAATATTCTGTTACATCTTTAATGCTAGCATACGTTTCATAGCTGCCTTTTATGAGTCATAATTTTTTTTTATGTGAATAATTCCAACCTTTAATAAAATTCAGCAATACAAATGACTGCTGGCAAGTTTGCTTCTTTTTTTTCCTATTATAATGTGACTCAGAAGTAATCTGCATTTTTTTACCTACTGGGAACCTTATTTATAGTTAGGGCCACACCAAAGGAATTCTAGTTGGAACAAGTATCTTGGACAAATTTTCTTGGGGTGTACATTTCCTTTAAAACCAACCTTTTTTCCCCAAAGTTAAAATATGAAATAAATTCAACAGTCTATCCTTCTGCTCAGGCTACTGTTCCATCACAGTCTCAGCTCTGTTTTCTTCCATGCCTTTGCTTTTCTAGTGCTTTTTAATTGAAAAGATCAATAACCCATAGCAATAGCATTCCCTCCAGGATATTTGATGGTTCCTTAAATAGATTTTTCCTTCGTTATTAAGGAGACTGTGAAAAAAACTTTAGAAAAACCCTGAACTACTGGCCTTTCAATTCTGAAGGCTGAGTTCAAGTTGCTAGTTACAGTTCATATTCTGTAAAATAACACTACCACATCACAAAATAATTGACAATTTCTGCTCAGGAGAGTTGGATTATTACAGCAGGAGATCTCAAAAGATGCAGCTGAATGAATAATTTGTGATGGATAATGAATTTCTGAGGGTTTTATTGACTGGAGCATATTCATCAATGTATTACAAAGATAAAAAAACAGATTAACTTAACAGACTTTAGATTGATTACAAATATTTGAAACTTTAATTGTTTAATTGTGGTTGGTTTGATGCCCTTGTGCATCTTCCTTTTCTCCAAGCACCGAAGACAAGACAGTAACGATTTCCGTTAAAAGTTCTATGAGAAGGTAAATCCAGCATACCAAAGTTTTTCCTTTTTTATGGAACTGATATGAATATCAGCAACATCTTCCTCCAAAAATGTTAATACAGTCCCTGTCAGACTTCTGCTCTTTTGCCCATGTGAAGAATTCCTCCCACTCAGGCAAACAATGCCTTTCACACTTCTTCAGGGAATTTATTGTCCTAAGCCACCATTATGTTTTCTTTCTCACTGCACCCCAGTCTAGCTGCATAAAAGAAACCAGCCCACATAACTGAACCATTCAATAAAACAGATCAATCTATAAAGCTGCAGCAGATATGTCCTTAAAATCTATTAATCAAATACTCCAGAATAAAAAAATCAGAATATGCATGAACTGGTTCACAAGTGATGCATAAACTAGGGAGAAATATAATCCTGATGAATTAATGGTTTGAAAAAAGCAGTGCAACCATCTTAAAGTTAATTAAGAACTTGGGATTCATCTTGTTTTCTGTGAAAATTTTCTTTAAGTTGGGCAACCGAGTGAAAACAACACCCTGCAGGTGGAGTATGAAGAGATCAGTAGTGTTTTTACAGTAACTCTGTGAATCTTCCTGTACTACATTTTAGTTAATTACTAAAGAAAATTGATTTTACATCACATTATGAACACATTCAGATGTAACTTTGTCAACAGAACATGAAGAGTCTTAAAAAGAGGATGGCAAGTAAAGTGTTAAAACTTTAGATGGGATCCCAATCCTTCCTCCTTTTTTATTAAACACAGTGGAGCTACAAAAATGGTGCTTATAACCATGGCTGTGTGTATATGCACTTTCCTTTGTTTTCTCCTTTTTTCATGATTATAATTCATGAAAAGAAAGATAAAAATTTGAGGGAGGAAGGACAGTTCTATAACTGATTGTAGATACTCTGGCTCCGTACCTGCAAAAACTATACAGAAAGACTGTTATATTACATACTGGTCATGAGATGCAAAAATTAGTGTTGAAGACATGGTTTCTGTCAAAAACCTCCAGAAAATACATACCCCAATGCCAGAGCCAGATGCCAGATCGACAGTGTCTTATGATGTTCCCTAGGAGCCACATTTTTAGGCTGTTAGATAATCTACAGCTAACATTTGTACAGATCAACTACTCGGACTTTCAACCAATTTTCAATATCAATAAAAAGGTTCTGTTATATCTCTCAGTAAACACCATACAACAACAATAATGCTGTATCTCAATGCCCTTTTGTCAGATTGTTTACAAGGACGAGATGACACTCAATGAACACCTATCTGTCAGTGCCTGTGTTACAGATGGCTCCCCAAAGGGAAAAACTTCATGTAAGTTTGGAACTTCAACAAAGCTGCATGTGATAAAAAAAATTACTAAGATTGTAAGGAGACCTTTATGCCTAAAAAGCTGTGGCGTATGAGAACTGAAATTAATAGTTTGATCCCTTTTTTCTCTATAGCATCCTGCAT